AAAAGGTTAAAACTCAGCCTCACCACTCAGAGGGTGTTTCTGTATGCAGATAAAATAAAACGAAGAAGTATCATCAATTATTCACCAAAACATTAACTCCTTTTTTTTTTTTCCTAGCACAGGAAAAATCCTGGCCTTCCTCTTCTTCCCCACCTCTGCCTCTAAAATCTCTGTGTTCCTACCTCCTCCCGTCTAAGAGACGGAACAATGCAGAAGACAGAAGATCTGTGGAGTTATTCTTTCCATTTAAGTGAGGGATCCTGTACTTAAATGCCCTTTCTCTGGTAGCAGGGTAAGAAGCAACGTTACAGCCCAACAACTCCCAGGTCTCTTATCTCAAATAATACTCGTCGTTAGCAGCTGCCTCACAATCCCATAATATTTTAACTAGGTTTGAAAAAACCCTGAAGTGAGGATTTATTATCTCTTCCGGCAAAATACCAAGTAAATCTATCATGCCATATAAATAATTCACATAAATTCTAGAAATATGGCCATGAATATAGGTCAGGAGGGGCACTAGAGGCGAGGTATGGAGCACTCTCTACTTAAGCACATGATAGACCTAAATTCAGTTTCCTAGACAGACTCTATCAGCTTAAAGAATGAAGACAGCTCAAATAATTTAAAAAGCACAGAATGACTTGACAGTCACTGAGGATTTTGAGAATACAGAGGATGAACAAAAATGAAGCCATTTTTTTCAGATAAGAATTTGTCTGATGGAAGTCAGTTGGGTACAAGGCAGCCTGTTTTATTTGTAAATGTCAGTGGTTCCTATGGGTGTTGGGAGTTTCCTTTAGAATATTTGGATGCTGCTGGCTTGTTGCTTCTGCCAGTAACCAGCCACCGATTTGCCATAGCTGTTAAAAAACACCAAATCTTTTAAGATAAGCACCGGTGGGCATCCAGAGAGCCTGATTTTCAATAATGGAGAAAACAGATGACTTCTGCCACCCCCTCCAGTATGGCTGGTAGGACAGCTCTGAAGAGCTGCTGTCAAAGGCAGATGGGACAGACTGCATTAACTGGCACTAATTAGGGTATTAATGGGACTCCCAGGCCCCTCTTCCCTCCTTTCACCTGCACTGCACGGGCAGGAGTGCCTCCGAGGGGGGCAGGCAGTGTCCACGTGCTGCGGCAGCGCGTGGCTTGGAAAGGTGACACGTCTTGCACAGGCTGTGGAGACATCTCAGAAGAGTTGCCCTCAGCTCTAATCTCCAGAGCACTCTGCACGTGCCCCCTCACGCAGAGGAGAGCGCAGAGGTACCCCCTGCTCTGGCTAATCAGATAAGAAGTTCTCTGCAGCAGTAAGAACTAATCTCCAAAGACACTACTATATTTAGCCAAGGACCTCTTAGGGGCTACGTGTTTTCCTGCGCTGCTGAAGAGCAGCTCAGCCCAGCCCAGCCCAGCCCAGCCCAGCCGTAGGAGACAGCCGTCCACACGTGGGAGCACACACCTACCTCACCCACGGATGAGAACACCTTCCCCCAGAGACCTGCGGGTAAAACCACTCCTCGCCTCTCCCTATTCCTAGAGAAACCAACATGCAACATGTCTTCTTCCATCTTGTCCTTAAAGGGCGCTTTTTTCCCCCAGTGTTCTCATTCTTTACCTCTTATAACGAAGGACGATGGCCGACTGGAAGCCCACAGTCCCCTCAGAGTCCCCACAGCTCCTTTGCAGCCCAAAGGAAGCGGGAAGGGTGGTCAGTGGCAGGCTGCAGTGGCCGGGACAGTTCTGCGGCAGACAGCCGGCCCCGAGGGACTCCAGCAGGGGTCACGGTGTGCTCTCATTCCCTGGAGTCCCTGAGCACACCGGCAGTGCTGAGGCGCCTGAGCACGCAGCGGGCTCACCACGGGACAGCCCCTGACCCCTGGGGCGCACGCACGGCCACCAGCAACGCCTCACACAGCACTAACAGTTCAGGCTGGCTGCCCCAACAAGGCAGGAACCCTTCCCCAGAGCACACTACAGCAGCTTGTGTTTCTGTTTATTTGGCTTTTCAGGAAGAAAAAAAATATATTGTCATCTTAAAAAAAAAAAAAGAAGTCACTGTCAAAACCATCTTTGGATAAGCTCTTCCAGTATTTACTTTATTCCACTCCTAGGAATAGCTCAGCTCATGACTGAATTTGTGCAGCTTCAGCTTCCAGCCCACAAGATTTCTAATGAAATTTTCATTATTGTCAGATTTATACTCAGTTCAGTTTACAGTGGGACTTTAAACATCTTCAGAAATTACACACTTGCTGTATCTGTAGGTGTGTTGTTTCCAACGGAAGGGACAACCTCTTCATCATTAAAACAATGCCTGGAATGTTCAGTTTAGTAGAATAAAGATTAATTTATTTTCCCAGGAAACAGCCAAGCCTAAAACGCATAAACAAAATTTTTAATTTACAATTAGGCTACTATATTACACAATGGGTTTATCCAAGTCTTTCCCAGTACAATGAAAAGGCTCTCCTGTTACTGGACCTGGTTTTAACCTGATTACTATTAAAAGATTAAATTAAAAAAAATTCTGTTCTTTCTGGAAGCAAAGCTGCTGTTTAATGCATTTCACTGTAAAAAAAAAAAAAAAGGAAAGCTATG